GGCGTTGTGGCCGAGTAGGGTTGCGTCACAGCGGTGGCACCAGCCATGCCTCCCGGCAACGGCGTTGTGGCCGAGTAGGGTTGCGTCACAGCGGTGGCACCAGCCATGCCTCCCGGCAACGGCGTTGTGGCCGAGTAGGGTTGCGTCACAGCAGTGGCACCAGCCATGCCTCCCGGCAACGGCGTTGTGGCCGAGTAGGGTTGCGTCACAGCAGTGGCACCAGCCATGCCTCCCGGCAACGGCGTTGTGGCCGAGTAGGGTTGCGTCACAGCAGTGGCACCAGCCATGCCTCCCGGCAAAAACGTTGGTATCCCGCGGCCCGCAACAAACGACTGTGCTGCTGCGCAGTAATTGGGGGCGGAAGTTGGTGGAGAGGCTCCAGTATTGGCTGGTAAGTTAGAGGTGACAGCGGACGCGACACCGGCCACACGACCTGGTGGGAACGGTGGCACATCAACCGCTCCAGAGACCCCTGTACCTCTGAAGATCTGCATATCATCTGTTATTGGGGGTGAAAGCAGCGTTATATTCGTATGGGATGCCCCTGAGGACGCGCTGCTGTTTGTTCCACGGATAGAGTGAAATGCTGACATATCCAAGACACCTAATTCTGCCTGAGCTACACGGAGAAGTTCCAACACAGTACGCGCCTCATTCTCGAGAGTTTGAAGCTTTTCTTTTGACTTGCGTACTTCACCCTCAACAAGTTCCTGACGCTCCTTAGCAAGCTGATGTTCCTTTCTGATGCTCACTTCCTGCTGCTGCATTTTTTTTGGACTCAGTAACGTGCTGGAAAAGCTCATAAGGTCTAACATCCGTGTATTTTGCTTCGCCGACATCATCAGCTTCTCACGCAAAAACTTGTTTTGCCTCAATACACTCTCGCGAAACTCGCGGTAAGGAGTTGATCCAGTATTGTACCAAAAACCTTCTGTGAACCTCTCCTGGTCGCCGGTCATTGGCACATACTCATCCTGGTACCAACATCGAATCTTCTTGTCGGTATCACACGACCAGACAAAAAACCGACGCAGTTCAGAGGGCCCAACGATGGCAGTGATACGAGCGCCCCGGTGCTCCTCGATCCGCTGCACCAGCTGACTGTCCTCCGCATCAAACACCGCAATGATGCCGTCAGCCCCACCAGAGTAAACACGGGAGCCGATCTTTCGCAGGGAGACAACGCGACCCCCGTGTGCGTGCAGCACACGCAATGCCTCACATGTGCTCAGCTTCCAGGCGATGACTCGCCCCTCGTTGTCACCCGACCACATTGTGACACCGACGCGACATACAGCCGAGACACCCGCACGACCATGAAAGTGACCGGTGAGCTGCGTCTCACCACATCCCGCATCCCATACACGTACGGTGCAGTCATCAGAACCGCTCACGACGGCACTCCCCTCCGCGTACAGACAACGAACGTAGTTGGTATGCCCG